GTGGGTTCTTTTGCGTCCGAAATTTATGACTTTTGTGACTTTATACTCACCAAGAATTGCATGCGTGCAGCGGTCGTATGTGCGGTTGTAAATGTCGTGTGTGAATTGGCAAAAAAAAATCCAAAGAATTATCTGTCCCTTGCCCCACAATTATTCAAGTTATTAAATACATCGACGAATAACTGGATGCTCATCAAAATCATAAAATTGGTAGGTGTAGGAATGATGCAATGGTTTTTAAGGAGATGACATTGACCCAGATTTTATTTATAGTTTGGTGCCCTAACGCCACATGAGCCTCGTTTAGCAAAAAAGCTTCTACCGCCAATTACTCACCAAATACAAACGACACAGGCCATGTCATTACTGTATGAGTGTATACACACAGTGATCACGGGTGGTATGCTGACACTGGGTGGAAATTCGGACGCTCTCGCTGCGATGTGTGTCAGCAAGCTGAGAACATTTTTAGAGGACGTAGATCAAAATTGTATCCTTTGTTTTATCAAGTTAATTCAATTATTATTTTCCTTTTTTCCTTGACCGAGAATCCATCATCAGTGAAATATGTTGGACTTTTGGCTTTAGCCAAGATTCTTCCGACTCATCCGAGACTGGTGTCAGAACATCGGGATATCATTCTGAAATGTATTGACGATCCAGATATTAGTATTCGTCTTCGCGCTCTAGATTTGGTGGTTGGCATGGTAACGATTATCACCATACACATTCACACTTTTAATAGCATTTAGAAGAATTAGTCCAATATAATTGACCATCTTTTTGTAGGTAAATAAGAAAAACCTCTCCGACATTGTCAAGCGATTGATGTCTCACCTTTTGCCAAGCAATAATAATAACACTGAAGACGATAATAACGGATCATCGACCAATTATCCACCTCCTTCTACTTTGTTCGAACCGGCTTATCGAGCCGATATTATAAACCGCATAATATACATTTGTTCCCAGAATTCATACAGCAATATCACAAATTTTGAATGGTATATTGCTGTGCTAATAGATTTAACCAACATCGCTGGTGTCAAAGTTGATAAACTTTTAACATCACAAATAATGGATGTTGGTGTGCGTGTCAAGAGTGTAAGACAGTATTGTGTCAAAACCATGGTAATGTGCTTGAAATATTATTCCTTCCTTACGTGACGAATCATGTATTCACGAGAGTGCTGTTCTAACTCTATCATAAAATTAGCAACGGTTGCTTTCGGACAAAAACCTTTTGGAAAACTGCAAACTTTCGCATACCAATGCTGAAGTCCTTTATGCTGCGGCGTGGATAACTGGGGAATACTGCAGGTTGACTTACATTCTGATTCCATCAGCATTCGTGAATTTTATTGGGTCGTATTAACGTAGACCATTTCACATCAGTTATTTGGAGAATCCTCTTGAAACTATCGAATATCTTATTCAACCTGGTGTTACAAAACTTCCGCACTCTGTTCAGGCCGTATATGTCCATAGTATTCTAAAAATATATGCGTTTTGGGCAAATAATTTGTCATATAGTTGGAACGACGATGCTAAGCAAGAATTAGCGCAGTTTACCTCAACGTTAAGGGAAAAAGTCGGGATGTTCTGTTCGTGCCCGGATTTGGAAGTACAAGAACGAGTAATTATAATTATATTTTCTATGAATGACATAATTAATGCAAATATTTTTAGACTGCCGATAAGCTACGTATTCTAACTTTCACCAACTACAGGCATACAACATACGCGAGATATTATCCATAATATACGAGAATTTGACGTCAACACCTAAAAATGACTTTTCTGTTCTCGCAAAGCCTCCTCAAATCATCTCCGAGATTCCGCCACTATTTTTTTCTTATGAACTCAATCCTGTGGCTCCCAAAGCTCAAAAGAAAGTGCCCATCCCCGAGGGACTAGATTTGGATGCATGGATAAATGAACCTCTGCCCGAATCAGGAAATAGTGAAAGTGAAGAAGAGGAAGAGAGTTACGGGCATGGATATGGTCAAAAGGTTGGTGGCAGTGGGGATTTGATATTTTCAAGCGGGAACGGAAATGCCGTGGGAAGGCGTAGAGGCAGAAAATCATTTAAATATGAGAGCGAAGAGGAGGACGAGGAGATTAAAGAACGAGTGAATACTCCTATTTCCAATTTCCTTTTTTGGTTTGTTTTTTTATTATTATTTCTTAGCCGAAATTTATTGCGTTAGCGTCGAAAAGAAAGAAAGGAGAGAATCAAGAATGATCCATTCTATATTGGGGATGAAAAAAAATCGGTTAAACGATCTAATCTAGACGAACATCCGGTTCGTACTAAAGAAGAGATTGACGTGGATTCTATTCCCGTAGTGCGCTTGACAATGGATGAGTTCGATCTTAAATGTAACCATTATGTTATATTGGATATTTATGTAATGTATAGAGTGACATTTATATTAAAAGCTTAATGCGCATCACATTTTCAGCAAGCAACAGAAAGTCATCAAAGTCGAAAAAATCAAAAGGCTCTAAAGGAGAAAGAGTGCATTCTCAATCTTCACCTCCGGCCCCGCCTGTTGTTTACACCGACATCGGTGAGATGCCCGAAAATGCTACAATTTCTGATGAAGAAAAGGAATTAGAAAAATCATGGAATACCTCATCAAAGATAAATAATGGAATACTGGATGTAGATTTTTCGGGGGTGGCGAATATAGATCTATCGACTCCTTTGGGAGAAGACGAGAAGCTTCCTCAGACGACATTTTATCTCTCTCCCGAGGAGGTAAGAAGGCAAGAGGAGGCGAGGATGAGAAAGAAATTGGAGGAAAGGCGTTTGATTCTAGCGAATGAACGGGCTTCCAAGACAAAGAAAACTAAGGTGAGAGCTGAAGAGAATATGCACATTTCATTATACCTTGACTTCCATATTAACCCCTTTATTTGATAGGAGGGTAAAGCTAAAATAAAGGCCCCTACAGAAACTTCGAAATTGCCTGAAAAATCGCCAAAATCAAAAGTTTCTGGGAATAATGAGAAAAAATCCAAAAAAGTAGAAAAGAAAAAGACGTCGAAGAAAAAACGAACTGAAGAAGCCGAACTGCAAAAGAAAAAAGAAAAAAAAACTAGTAAAAAGGTTGAATATCAGCATGATAAAAGCATGGAATGATGTTGAATTAAATTTCGATTGAAGTTAAAATAATTAACAATAATTCTTTATTTTATTTCGTTAAAGAAAGCGGAAAAAGTCGCAATACCCGAGCCTACTATTACATTAGTGGAAGTCAATAATGATGATGACGAAGTCATAGAAACAAATCATACCAACATAACGCCAGTTAAAACGCTAGTCGATTCAGACGATATTCAAATAGTAAGTGTCCTTGGTATTTTTTTATAGTATGTTCAATGTATTGTATAAAATGTAGAGCTGATTGTTTTTTTCTTCTTTAACGAAGGACTTTACGTTGACTCTAGGCTCTCCAACCGAAAAAACGAATGAACCCCCGACGTTAATAGCCAACTTCTCTCTTTGTAACAAGAATTCTCTTCATCTACCGCTTTCACAGTTTACGTTCACGTTTGAATCGACGTCAGACATTCAGTTTGATAACCCGTTAATAGAAATAAGTGATTTACGATACCAAGAGAAAAGGGATGTGAGTGTTGATCTCAGGGTCCTTGGAATAGTAGGCGTAGGGTTAACTGTGTCTGGAAATACGACTTATACAATACAGGTAAATGAAACTTATCTGATGATTCACCAAGTCGCGAAATTCTAATCTCAATTATTTTTTAATAGTCCGACGAAGTTAATACTAAGCACGATATTCCTATCAGATTTGAATTACCCCTCATGGTGTTTATGCTAAATCTACCTCGCATAAGTTCCGAGCAATATGCTACTTTGATTTCTCAGACCGACTTTCCATTCACGGGATCCACGATTATACATCTTAATGCTACAATACACTCTGCTGATCAAGCTTTCCAGAATGAATTAATACGATTAACCTCATTTGCTACTGGAACCCACATCGTTGAGCAAATGCCAGGTGCAATAACTATTTATGGAAAGAGTGTTCAAGGATATCAAGTCGTAGGATTGGCAAAATTATTTGTCGGGAGACAACAGATGATAGATGACGATGAATCCATCAACGAAAAAACAAGCGTTAAGATTGAACTCAAGTGTACGGATCAGGCATTTGTAGACGGATTAATTAGAGAAATTGAATACTTATTTAGAGAGGATTCATGACCTTGTAATTTTGGCATTACCAATGTGTTATGATTTACTATATTTATTTATACATTGATACTAGTTAGAAAGTTTAATATTTGATTATGTCAATTACTATAACCACCCCAAAATGTGAACGAATCTTCATTCGCTGTCCATCATAATGATCTTATAGAAACATTGACGCATGATAAACAAACGGCAACGTGTGAAATATTACGCGAGCAAAGTGTTCGATCATATATCTCTTTGACCATCGTATTACTTGCATGAAAACAAAATCTTCTTCTCTGGTAATTTAATATAATTTGTGTGAGTAAAAGCAATTTACTTTTTTTTTTTTTTTTTAAATCCTTAGTTACTGTATGTGTGCTTTATTAAACTATTAGTAAACTGTACATATAATATGCATCACTAAAGCCAAAACTTTAACTTACTCGTTTTAGTTTAATTATTCTAAATGTAATTTTGAAGTGATTTATTGTTCCATTAGAAGTTTAGATAAAATTTCTTTCAACTTTTAATATTATTGTCTACAAGTCACCAATTGCAAGTCACTTTATGAGTTTTGACAAAAATCAAAATCCTAATTATTTTATTTTATACTTTATCCTTTTTACCAAAACCTCCTTTAGTTTCTTATTTTTTAAACTTTTTTCATTTAAAATTGTCACTCTGACTATTATAATATTGGTTTTTTGAATTGATAAGTTTGATGGTCTTCTTATTTTGTTTTTTTTATTAGATTTCTTAAACTTATTCTTATTTTACAATCTTTTTACACTTTGGTTTTTAGATCTTCTTTTGAATTTAATTGTATACTTTCTTTTATATTTATACTATCTATTTATTTGATTCTTTTTTAATTTATTTTTATAGTATTTTAGATCTATTATTTCCTTTATCAAATTCTTTTTTATTAGTTTTTACAAATGTTACATGAGTGACATTATGTCGAATAAATATTTTTCGACTAGTGATTTTTATTATAATATAAAAAAAATTTTTTTTTTTGTTTTTAATCCATAATTTTATCACAATGGTTTGACTTTATTGAGAAATTAAAATAAAATCTATAATAGTTTACAGATTTTCACAAAGTAACTAACTCATTTTCATATATAAGTACTCTAAGTCAAATTTTGGAAACAATATTATACTCCCCTGATAAATTGATAATAACCTCTATCTATTGAAATCATTGTCAATAGTTTATCACTGTTAATTAATCCAAAAATTAATAAATTGTTAAGTTAAAAAGTAAAAAGAAAAATCAATTTAAAAAAAGGAAACAATTTATAATTTATCAAAAAAATTCAAAAATAAAAACAATCTCTTCTTAAAAGAAATCTACCTAATTAAAATAGTCTTCTTGCTTCATTTGAATCTCAGAAAAAGAATTTGTGTTATCGAAAATTCAAGATTAAATTGAGATAAGTAAAATTTTTCAGAAAATCATAAAAGTGTAAACTTTAAGAGGATTAAGATAATTTAAAAGAAAGAAAGTAAACTTTTTAACTACAATAAAACCTCTGTAAATCTCTTATTTTAAAGATTAGAAAGGTTTTCAGATATTTCACAGTCAATTCTTTTTCCTTTGAAAACTTTTTTATCATTGGTATCAAAGATATTACTTGATTTTTCTTGATCATTGGAAGTCTAATTTTTGGGTGAAGAAACTTGTAAACAATAAAGAATGAATAGAGATGACTCTTGAAATCAGACTTCAAGTTATTTTATGGAAAGTATTAAAACTTTATTAGCAAAGAAATGAAAAAACTTTTTGTAAATATCTTTTTTGTGTATAGTTAGAGGATTAGTAAAAAGAGTTTTGATAATATAACAATTAATTACATCACAATATAAAAAATAATTAAAAAAGAAAAATCAATTTTTATAAATATTAATACTAAACTTGATAAGAAAAAAAATCTAGATATAAATTTTGTAAAGG